CTTTAAAATGTTGATGGTTGAAGAGGCTGAATTCAAATTTCACAACCATGTTAAGATCACTAAAAGCATTGGTGTACAGGGGCCACGACACAACATTGTTTTGTGACATTTGTTACATCGAAGGCTTCTGGAAACTCTCCATTAGATAGAAAAGATGCTTTCATTCCTTCGTGAAACGAGATGATGACATTTAGCATACTGTCAGGTATGCCAAACTTTTTGAGTACTTTGCAGAGGGCACTCCTGTTCCCAGAGACAAACGCTTTGGTCAGATCGATGCAGACGGTATAGAGTTCATGGTTCTTCTCGCAAATTTTCTCAGCAACCTGACGAAGTGAAAATATCATATTAATGGTTCTGTGACCTGAGCAAAAGTAACACTGAGATTCAGGATAGATGTCGTCAATGAGATATTTGATTATTTTATTGAGAATAACACGAGCGAGAAATTTACCAGCGATACTTAAACGTGAAATGGCACGGGAATTATCACATACAACCTTTTTGCGTTTGTTCTTGAAGAGATGTTTTATGCAAGCATCTTTGTAGTCCTGTGGAATAGAACCAACCTTTCATATATATATATATATATATATATATATATATATATATATATATATATATATATATATATATATACTGGATGTAAATTTGAATGTCTATATGTGGTAAGTAGAAGAGATTGAGATAAATTTAACATTACACCACATATGCCAATTTACACAATGTCAGATTTTATTATGTAATTCAATGTTTTCATTCTAAAATCGCCATTAACCAAATGATGTTATAAAACGTACGAGATTCAGTTTATAACAATCTTCCTTTATTTACAATAAAATAATTTGGTGGGATCAGGTTTTGTTAATGCAAGCATATAAATCGCATACATTTCATGCACTTATAAAAGCAAAATATCATCTTTACCTGGATAAATTATTATTCAATTATTCGATTATTTTACATGTTAATATCAGTTCGTTGATATTCGTTAACCTTCAACATCTTTTCAACCATTGATTTTCTTTATTTTTTTCTATTGTTTCGATTTAAACATTACTTGCGACAGTTTCTAGTGCTTTCTAAAGATTTTTTTTAATTCTCTTTTTCATTCTCTTTTTTTTTTTTTTTTTATGAACTACAAGATTTCTGTTGGATTATTGTCTGGAATGGTTGGTGTCCTTTGAATTAATTCATCGTCACTGAATCATTTTTGAGCAAAATGGGCAATATCCAGCCTTACAAAATGTGAAGAAGCATTGTACTGCATGAATATACGCTTTAGCTTAGAACATGTTTTTCTTTACCTGTACCACGAGAAAAAAAAACTCTTCTTCAATGATTCTTTGCATTTACCTATATAACATCATTAAATTTGATGGGAAGTAAAATAACATAAATACCCCCAAATCATTATTTCACCCTTGTCTGTCGTGTTTGTTGACTATTTTTATTAATGGCCATATCATTAACCCACACTTTTATGATCATCCAATACAGATGTAGCCTCATCCCGTAAAAGGTACTATTGAGAAATAAGTTTTCGTGTAATACTTTGCCCCCGTTACATGTTTCTATTTGGGAAGTTTTCTTGAGGGTCTGTGAGTTTCTTTACTTTTCTATCATTAAGCAAAGTTCATAACATTCTATATCTTTTCTCACTGTTTTACATTCGCAACACCAGTTTCTACAAATATCTTCCAACTGTTCAATCCACTTTTATTGCCGTTTTATTTTTTCTCAAATCTTTTTATTTGCCATTCTTAAAGGTACTTTCTTTTTTTTCTTCTTATTTCACCAATTATTTAATTTTTTTTACTTGTTCAATATTTTGCAATTCCAAAGTTGAGTTCCCCTTACTCTATAACTTTATAACATCGTGTTTATTAATGAAAGTCATATCTTCCTGACAGCCCCTATCAACATTGCCATCTCTGATATTAAAAAAATAAATATCTATATCATTATATATATTTACTTATTTTTCACATTATTAAATAGCACACGACTAAATAATAATCATAATCATCAGTCATGGTTAATTTCCTTCAGGAAAAGTATTTCTCAAATCTTTCCATGTCACGTCTTATCAATAAGCTGCTATTTGTCCTGACAGAGGACGGTAAGTGTGACACTGAGATCCGTAGGCGTATTGGGATAGTCAAGGACACATTCCAAAAACTGGGCAGAGTTCTGCGAGACAGGAGGATTTCTTTGGTAACAAAGAAAAGAATACTGACATCTGTCCTTCTTTACGGAAGCCAATGTTGGACGATTTCCTCAAAGATGAAGAAGAGACTCGAGGCGACAGAGATGTGGTTCTACAGAAGGATACTAAGGATATCATGGACCTAGCGTGTAAGCGATGAGATCTTAGAGAGTTTGCAAAGGAGGAGGCTTATACTTAATATCAGGAAGAGGCAGCTGAAGTTTCTGGGACACATAATGAAGAAAGAGGGCCTGGAGAATCTGATACTCACGGGTCGAATAGAGGGAATGAGAGACAAGGGAAAGCAATGCGTGACATACCTGTCAAGTGGATGACAGAACGTGGTCTGGGGGACGAAACAGAGGGAAGGAACTTGCTGAGATCTGCAAGTGATAGAGGGAAGGGGAGAGACATGATCGTCTACGTCCTGAAAGGACACGGCACATAAAAAGAAAGAATGGCGGTAGCAAGATCTCTGATTGGGAGATTTTGAGGAGCGTGGAAGCACCTCTTAATTACTATGGTTCCAGTTCCACCCTAACCCGAGGTGGTAGCACCTATTAGGGTCCCGGCTAGGGGTAAAAAGTGAAACCCAAACAAAACGGTATAAATACATTTTTATAGTAAAAATACCAGCTTTACATTTTTATTTAAAAATTACCAACAATACATATTTATACTAAAATTACCAACAATACATATTTATACTAAAATTACCAACAATACGCACATATTAACAAATTGTGGCGATTTCACCCAATCGATTTAAAATACTATCAAAGAACCAACATGAACTCTTTCATGACATTAAGCCATATAATATCCTACAATATCTTAAAGGAATCAAACTGCATTTCGAAATATAACTACATAAAACAGGATACGTCGGCGTTGTGTAATGGTTAACAAGCTTGTCTCTCTAGAATAATCATGACTGTATTGTGAGTTCGAACCTCACTGGGTGCCTCAAACTTTCGACCTTGTGCCACATCTAAGCTACGTTTGGAAAATCTCTATTATTTGGGCGCTTCAACGTAGTGTAATGGTTAGTAAGCTTGCCTCACTAGATCAATTACGACTGAAAAGTGAGTTCGATCCTCACTGTTTGCCCCAAAACTTTCGGCCTTGTGTCACATCTAAGCTAGGCTTATAAAATCATTTAGGGCAGCTCAGCGTGGTGTAATGGTTAGCAAGTCTGGCTCGCTAGAATAATTACGACTGTGTAGTGAGTTCGATCCTCACTGGGTGCCTCAAACTTTCGGCCTTGTGCCACATCAAAGCTACGCTTAGAAAATCATTTTGGGCACCTCGAAGTGGTGTAATGGTTAGCAAGCTTATCTTGCTAGAACAATTATGAATGAGTAGTGAGTTCGATCCTCACTGAATGCCCCTTACTTTCGACCTTGTGCCACATCCAATCTACGCTTAGAAAATCACTATTATTTGGGCACTTGGTGTAATGGTTAGCAAGCTTGCCTCACTAGATCAATTACGACTGAGAAGTCAGTTCGATCCTCACTAGGTGCCCAAAACTTTCGGCCTTGTGCCACATCTAAGCTACGCTTGGAAAATCACTATAACTGCATAAAATACACATATCTCCGCCTCTAGTAATTATGTCCACGCAAACATGTATATGCACAAAAGATAACTATTATCTACCATGTATACAATTGTGAAGGTAGAATAACGTGTATCATATTTTTATTACTTCCAAACTCCCAAGAAATGAATTATAAAATGTTGATATGCCGCTAAACAAATGAAATAAGTTGTTCTATTACGTCTTTTTCATCTCCTCTAAGTTCTGTTCCTGTTGTATTTGCTAACGATGGGACAACAGACAACCATTTATTCCATTTGTTATCGTTTCTTCATCTTATGTCTCTCGTCGACTTCCATTTTTGCTTTTTAATCACTTATCTTTTATCTTGGTCTGTTTATTTCTTAGATTCTCTTAATCCATTTTGACTTCTTTTTATCTCTTACATTTATCCCTAATATCAACCTGTCCATTGTTCTTCAGACAATTCTAGATTTGTTTTCGAACAATTGTGTTACTTTCTATCCGTAAGTCTTAGGTAGTATAATACGTTGTGAGCATATTAGCAAAAGGCTTTTCATTGTATTTATTTTTGTCATAAGTATACGTATTCCTTCCTCTTTGATTACTATGACTTTTATCCGGAATCATTCAATTGGACATTACTTCCGTTCATTTAAAAACCTACATTGAAACTTTTCCTATTTAGGTCATTTAGCGCTTCTTGTAATTCATCCGCTGATTTTGATTAGTAGAATGTATTCAGGAAATAATAGCCGATTTGAATATGTTCCTTTTAAATTTTTCGACCATCTTTCTCTTGTTCATATTTTTAAGACAGTTTCGAGTGTTCTGTAACTATTTGAAGTCAAATCCTATCTCCTGTCTGTGTTTTTGTCTCATCGAATTATTGTAATACTGTTATCGTAAGAAGTTTTATAGAACTTTCGTTAATACTTTTCTCTGAGAATGAGTTAAAGACTGTCGAATGTTTACCAAGACAAATGAGATTCTATGGTCAACCAAAGTTGAACAAAGTAGTTTGTTATATTCTGTTGTTTTACAGTCAGTTGGTCCCTGGTTCGTAGACAGACTATGAACAAATAGCTACACCTAAAATGTGCCTGTTGGTTGATTTTCGTCTGGGGTATTTGTTAGTAAGTAATTTTTAATATAATTTGTATATTTTCGATTTTAATGTGATAAGATGAAAGTTTGCAAGGTGTTTAGCATCTCTTTTAGGTTTAGTATTACATATTGACACACTCATACATGTATATCTCTTTACTTTTATCTGCTAACCTTTCTTTCCAACTGTTTATTCCAGTTTATTCCTACAAATCAATGTGTTCTCTCTCTCTCTCTCTTGCTGTCTGTCTATCTGTCTGTCTCTCTCACTCTCTCACTCTCTCTCTCTCTCTCTAAGAGTAAACTATCTTCATACACATACCAGTTTTAGAATAAATATAGCCATATTCGCCATTCTTCATTTTCTTATTATTGTGTTGATTCAGCTTTGGTTTGTAACGAAGTTTTTCTCTTCTTTTCATTGTAAACTTGGCATTTTTTTTTTCATTGATGGAAAAAAAACTTAAGGAATAGCAACAGATGTTTTAACAAAATAGCGAAACATAAGACAAATTTTCCTTCATATTTCAATTTTTTATGTACACGCTAATTCTTATGCTATTTTCCCTTCTAATTTTTATTTTTTATTCCTACGATAGAATGGTTCAAGCGATCTCATGAATCTTACTGTCATATGTCAGTGTGTGTGTGTGTGTACGCGCGCACGTATGCGCGTATGTGTTCGCTCTTATTATTCTTACAGAACCTAAGTTCATCAGTAAAAGCATTGTTCGGCTTGACTGAATCCTGCAAGTGTTCTTTCGTTTCTGGACAATAGAAAAACATTTCAGTATAGCAAAGGTGAAAATTGTTGCTTTGTATTATACAAACGAATCTATTTTTTTTCAAATCAATCTTATTCTCTCTGCGTTCAGCGACGAAATCAAATATATATATATATATATATATATATATATATATATATATATATATATAAACTATCATATACATATATATATACATTTATAAACAAACTATTATATATATGTATAAACTATCATATATATATATATATATATATATATATATATATAAATTATTATATACATATATATATAAACAAACTATTATATATATATATATATATATATATAAATAAACTATTATATACATATATATATTATGAAATGGACAAAGTCCGACAATTATTTTAAGACATTTTTATGTTTATACATTCTTTTTATAGATACAAATACTTAAATAAATGCTCTGTTTATAATAAACAGTATTAAATGACATTTACCGGCCTGAATATCCGAGAAATTTTCACAGAAAATATTCGTCCTACGGCAGGATTCGAACCGGTATCCTATAAGGAACCGTCATTTAGCTTGACGTGCCTTTACCTATTTGGCCACAGAGGAGCAAGGTCGAATTTACTGTATTTAAGATTCAATCTTCCATGAATCTCTCACGTACATTCAAATCTGCTGATGGCGTATCAAATGTAAACTAATGACGTCACACATTATGAAATGGACAAAGTTCGACAATTATTTTAAGACATTTTTATGATTATACATTCTTTTTATAGATACAAATATTTAAGTAAATGCTCTGTTTTATAATAAACAGTATTAAACAACATTTACCGGCCTGAATGTCCGAGAAAGTTTTACACAAAATATATATGTATCGGAGGACGAATATTTTATATATATATATATATATAAAAACTTAGTATCAGTTAAAAGTCAATAGATGATATCATACTGTCAGTTTCATTAACACCACCCTATTTTTATCTACGATTTATTTACTTTCTCCTGCTTGCGACTGAGTTTCTGGTTCCTTCTAAAATCGATTTCAAGTCTCTACTTCTAACGTCTTCGCCTAAACTCTGACTCATTATTCACTAATTATTATTTTTATTTTTGTCCCTCTCTCTCATTAGGAATAGGTAGATTCACCTATCGTCCGGCTCAAACTCCTTCCTGGTTTAAATCTATACTTCTAACGCCTGATCTCAGAAATCTTATTTACTATTTATTTATTTATTATGCTTTTTCCTCTCCCAATAAGAGTAGATAGATTCCCCTATCGTCTTGTTCACACTCCTCCCCGATCTTTTGAACAGGAGTAGAGGTTCATCCCTAGTTTCCAGTTTAACATTGGATTTTCCGGTTTTTTTCTAAAATCTACTACCATACTATATTTCTAAGATTGCCGACTGAACTCGCGCCACAGAGTAACCCTCTACCTTGAATGGCTCTTGGGCCTTGTACTAACATTAATAATATATATATATATATATATATATATATATATATATATATATATATATATATATTATATGAGTGGACATTGAGGTCAAGACCGAGTGATGGCAATCTATTTCATACCTGAACTCAATTTTCAGGCCATGTGTGTTGGATAGTAGCTCAACTATTTATATATTGTAGTCAGTGGTGCATTATGAGTAGCAAGGTCTTATATTTCCGGTTTAATGTATTATCCTAACGGTTATTGTGTAGAGGGGAACGGTTATATTTTTTAATTATTCTAAAGGCAGGGTTAGGGTTAGGGCTAGAAATAATTGTGGGTCAGGATGCGGTTATTTCATATCTATTGTGTAAGATTGTTTCTTAACTTTTAACTAATAATTTATAAATAATTACTT